GACCTTGGTGCAGGTAAATCCCTGCAGATCACGGGGCTCCCTCAGAGCACGTGGGGCAGGTCCAGCTCCACGTGGCTGCTCCGGCAGGACGTGTTTGCAGGAGGAGAACGTTGCTGTAGGAACCCCCATCAGCCAAGGGTGCCAAATTAAGGGGAAAAACGTGGGTGGGGAGGGTCACGTCCCATGGTAATATTGGCTTCCCCAATGGCTCATTGCAGGGATTTTGGAGGGGGAGTCCAGGGGTCCCCAGCACGGTCCCTACCTGCCTGGGCTGCGATCATGAGGGCCGTGTTCCCGTCCTTGTCCTGCTGGTTGACATTTATGTAGGGGCACTTCTGCAGCAGGGGCACAATGTCCACAAAGCCCTTGTAGCAGGCCACCATCAGCCCATTCTGGAGAGGGGACACACTCAGCACCAGGGCTGCAGCTCCCCAGAGACCCCCCACCCCCCATGTCTTCCCTCCACCCCAAACCAGATGGGAGGATGGATGAGGTTCTGCTCCAAGGATCAACCCCAGGAGACCCCATCCCTTCTCAAAGCCACCCCACCCAGAACTCTCCCTCCTGCCCCATCCGCTTTATCAACCACCACCCTCCAGAATTTCCCTCTTCCCAGGAAATCCTCTCTTTGCTCCACAGGGGGGTCTCCCCAGCCACTCACCCTCCCGTTGATGTCCAGCTCCATGGCCTCACTCCTGCTCACCCCTCGCTCCAGCCTCTCCTGCACCAACCTGGCATCGTTCTTGGCGCAGCACTGGTAGAGGCTGAGGTCCCCATCCCCACCAGCCCTTGGGGATGGCTCGTAGCAAGGGTAGACAGAGTCATCAGAGCAGACACTGCTGGTGTCTGAGGGCTCTGACTCGCTCTTCTCGTCATCCCCTTCCTCCTCGTAGTGCAGCTCTGGGTCAGAGGGGTCCAGGTTGACCACGGGGGCTGCAGCATCTTCTCCTCCACCGTGGGCATCTGTCATCCGGGCCGGCCGGGGAGAACGAGCCCAGCTTGGTCCCGAGCCCTGCCTGGGGCCAGGAGCCTCTCCTGGGGGACAAGGGGATGCTCCAAGCTGGTCACTCACCACTGTGGGGACACAGAGCAGGTGTGGGAGCCACCCCAGCCCCAGCTCCCCTTGGCTGTACCCAGTGCCAGGGGGAAGGACACGTCTCCATCCCTCCCTCCTGGTGCCTCAGCCCTCCCCACTTCACTGCTGCACATCAGGGCAGCCCCAAAACCCTTTCCCAGCAGCAGGGTTGGAGAAACCCACAGGGAAAAGGGTTAAATCTGGCTCCTTCTGAGGCTGGAGCAGCTCCTGGCTCTGAGGAACCCCTTAAACTGCCCAGCCCTGGTGCTGGCAGCCCTGGAGCAGGGACAAGCTGCCTGCAGCCCAGCAGCAGGAATGAAACCAGTTTGCTTCTCATTAGAAGCTGACCACTAATTAATTTGTTTTGGGAAATTAAGAATTCCCCATTCCATGCAACTCTCCCTCCCCTCTTAGACATCCCAAAGCTGGCACTGGGGATGAGGGACCCTCTTCTCTTACCTGGGGCTGCTCAGACCTTCCCTGTGGGTCCCTCTGGGGCTGGGCAGCATCACAGCTCCATCTGGGAAAAAATGACTTTGCAGGAGGGGGTGGGAAATCAGCCCCAGCCTCTGGAGTCAGGGAGTGGTTTCTGCTCTGGGTCTGAGAAGCCCTTGAGCCCTGGGATGACCAGCACGTTGCCGTGAGCTCAGCACCCCAAGGTGTCTTTATTTAAACTGTTGCTTAAAATGGCTCCATCCAGCCTGAGCAGGATCAGAGCTGCTTGGACAGGATTTAGCATCGTGAGCTGAGGAGCTGCTGGGAGCCCTGGGCTGGACTTTTCTACCTGTCTCACCTCAGCCAGAAGCTGCTGGCTGAGCAACCCCTGTCAGCTCAGCTAAACCCCCCCAACCCCCACCAGCTCCCCAGACCTGCAGGTGGATTTATTTGCTGATGGGATAAACCTGGGAACTGCCTTCAGCCAAGGGCACGGACACCCACACTGCAGGTGCATTAAATAACCTCTGGGATGCCCCTCCAGGTGCCTGTCCCCTCCAGCCCACCCTCTCCAGCCTCCAGCCCACCCCTTCCTCCTGGAATCCAGTGCCAGAGCCTCAGGACACCAGTGAGCAGGGGCAGTTGGAGTCCAAGAGCTGCAACAACCACTTTCCTGAATTCCACATAAAACCTGGCTGCTCCCTTATCTCCCTCGATTAAAGGGGGTTATTTTGGTGTGGTTGGTGGGTTTTATTCCCTGTTTGCTGAGGCAGAGGGGCCAGCTGGCCCGTGGGAGCTGGGAAAGGGCACCTCTGAGCCCTGGCTCAGCAATTTTCATGGCAAAAAAAGGGGGAAGTTTGGTCCCAGGGCAGCTCGTGGGCGGCCCCGTTCCCCATTTACAGTGCTGAACATCAGGCTCCCGATGTGGAGCCCCCAGCTGGGCTCTCCCTCCTGCCGTGTCCCCCCAAACCCTGGTGTCACCCCAGCTGTGCCCATCCCTGCCAGGGACCGGGACCTGTTCCCAGCCCCTCAGCACCACCAGAGCTGCCACCCCCCC